AGCCTTGTCAGGATAAAAGTATGATTGACCAGAACTAGGCTGTGGGCAGAATTACAGTATGCTATTTCTTTCTCTATCCTAGAAGGAAATCAATTAACACTGACTTACACATGAAGTGTGTTGTCATTGAAAGTCCAGTGTCCTCACCTGGTTCATGACATGTTAACGTTTAGGAAAAGTTCCCTGGGGGTGAAGAATAATTTGAAGTTTAGCAGCAATTTCAGGTTTATTATATTTAAGGGTTTTTTTTTTTTTTTTTGCTAACACTAAAGAATTTTTAAATGACATGCATATGATTCTGTTTTTTTTTTTTTTCTGTTCTTTTGTCCTTTTGTCCTAGCAGCTTGCTGCATATATTATTAATAGATGACTGTTGAAATGATACTTATCCAATGCTCAGGGTAACTATTTCTAGGTAGTGTTATTTTTGGATTTTTTATTTTTTTTACCTGTTAAAAAACTTCCATGTAGTTGGTTTTAAGAACATAACCTTTTTTTTTCTTCTTTTTTGGAAAAATACTGCTAAATTTTAAAAACCTATTTGTTGAGTATGTGCTAGTAGTTACAGACGTGTTTCTGTCCTCAGGGACTCCATTCCCTGTTCTCAAGGATTTGCCAGTTTTAATACTTGAAAAGCTAAATTGGAATACCCCTCATGTTCTTGTCCTAGATCTTATTTTATGTATCTCCAAAAGAAAAAAATTTTTTAAGTAAGTTATTTTTTTTGAGTTCAGAATTCACTCTATTTGCTGAAGTTAAGATACATGGTTGCCTTATTTCATTATCTGTCAAGTCAGAAACTAGGCAGGATCTGAGGATTAAACTCATTTTGTGTGCAAACACACATGTCGATGTTGTAAATATTGGCAAAAGATGTGAAACTCCAGTCAGTGAAAAGAGTTTGCTAGGACCATAGCAGTAAGCAGAATGACAGGGCAGCACTGATTTTCTGAACTGCAATTTCTCCAGGGAAATGTCAGTAGAGATGGATGTTGTTAGGCAGTGGAGCACGTTAAAAAGGAATCTTCTTATTGAGAAGCACTGCTGTTATACTGGGACTGCTGGCAAACCAGCCCATCCTCCTCTTGCAAGAGAGACGTCTGTATTACTCTAGAATGGCAAGCAGATCTTCTCTATAGAGAGAGATGTCTCTACTTTCTAGAACGCAAGCAAATTTGCTTCAAGGTTTTGCCTGTTTTTGAAAGTCTGCCTGCTATATGAACATCCTTGAAAAGCCAGTTTGGTGTATACTAGTTATTCATGCCTTTAAAAATGTTTGGATACAGGAGAGACCCGTGTAAAATAATCTCCCTGTAATATCTAGAAGATGAAACTTCTTGAACAAACCCAGTGTTACACAGTGCAAGCTGTTTTCTTCTCTATTTTACCATGGCAGTATTTTGTTTTAGTCTTTTTTTTTTAATTAATGTTGTCTCTGAAATATCTACTCAAGAACTTTAAACAAAAATAAAATTTTTGAAATTTATGAGCCAAGTAATTTCTATAGCACAGCCAAGACCTCGAACCTTTTCTTCTCTTTCTCAAATACCTTGTCAAAATTAGGTAGAATTAAAGCTGAGTTCTACTGAAGAGGCAATGATTTTTGAGCTACAGAGTTTCAGGTTTTATTACGGAACAAGCATTGTATTTTAGACTTATTATTTCCTTCATTCAACTAACTTTGTGTTTCTTTTATTAATCTTTTTCTGGTTCCTTTAGGTGCAAAGTTAGATTGTTTATTTGAGGTTGTTCTTGCTTTTTGAAGTAGGCCTGCATTACTATAAGCGTCTCTCCTAAAACCACTTTCACCGTATCCCTTGGACTTTGGAATGTTGTCTTTCTATTTTCATTTGTTTTAGATTATTTTTTGATTTCTTCTTTGATTTTTTTCATTGACCCATTGATTGATTAGTTCCTTTTGGTTTACGCTTCACATTTTGTGGTTTCCCGCCCACCCCAGTTTTATTCTTATAATTGGTTTATAGTTTTATGCTGTTTGGGTCAGAAAAGAATTAGTTTTTAATTTTTTGAGACTTGTTTTATGATCTAATATGTGATCTATCCTGGAAAATGTTCCATGTGTACTTAAAAAGAATGTGTATTCTGCTGTTTGGGTGGTTGAAGGTCCATACATATCTATTTAAGTTTATATGGTCTATTGTGTCTTTAAGACCAATATTTCCTTACTGAGACTCTCTCTGATCTAAATGTTAGTGTAAGTGGAGTGTTAAAGTCTATTATCATATTATTGTTTATATCTTCCTGTATATGTGTTAATATTTGCTTTATATACTTAGGTGCCCCTTTGTTGGGTGCATAGATATTTACAATGTTATTTTCTCTTGCTGGATTGATCCCTTTATCTTTATATAATGACCTTCTTTGTCTCTTGTTACATTTTTTGTTTTAAAAAATGTACATTTTGTTACATATTTTGTTTGAGATGCATATTGCTACTTTGTGTGTGTCTGTGTCTTTATTTATTTATTTATTTTTTTGATACTTTTTTTTTTAACTTTTTTTTTTAATTTATTTTTTTTTCCATTTATTTTTATTAGTTGGAGGCTAATTACTTTACATCATTGCAGTGGTTTTGGTCATACATTGAAATGAATTAGCCATGGATTTACAAGTATTCCCCATCCCGGTCCCCCCTCCCACCTCCCTCTCCACCCGATCCCTCTGGGTCTTCCCAGTGCACCAGGCCCGAGCACTTGTCTCATGCACCCAACCTGGGCTGGTGATCTGTTTCACCCTAGATAATATACATGTTTCAATGCTGTTCTCTTTAAACATCCCACCCTCGCCTTCTCCCATAGAGTCCACAAGTCTGTTCTATACATCTGAGTCTCTTTTTCTGTTATGCATATAGGGTTATCGTATGTGTGTGTCTTTAGATATGAAATGAGTCACTTGAAGGTGACTTATAGATAAGTGTTTTTTTTTTAATGCTTTCAGCCACCCTGTCTTTTGATTGTAGCATTTAGTCCCTTTAGATTGAAATGAGTATTGATTAGGTCTATGATTACTGTCATTTTGTTGTTTTCTGATTGGGCTTGTAGTTCTTTATCTCTTTCTTCTCTTGTTCTTTTTTTAATTTTTTTCCTCTTGTTCTTTTCCCTTGTCGTTTGATGATGTTGTTTAGTGTTATGTTTGGATTCCTTTCTCTTTATTTTTTGTGTATCAGTCAGAGATTTTTGGCTTCTGTTACCGTGGTGGTTTATTTAGGTGGTTTAGTTGCTAAGTCGGGTCTGACTCTTGTGACTCCATGCACTATAGCCCACCAGGCATCCCCTTCCATGGGACTTCCCAGGCAAGAATGTTGGAATGGGTTGCCATTTCTTTTTCCAGGGGATCTTCCTGACCCAGGGGTTGAGCCTGGGTCTTTGCATTGCAGGTTGATTCCTTACTGACTGAGCCGCCAGGGAAGCCTCTGAAGTTCGTGGTGGCTGCTGTGAAATTCATATATGACAAACTACAAATGTAGTAGTCGATTTTAAGCTGATGGTGGCTTAAGTCCAAGTTCATTCCAAAAGCACAGCATTTTATTCTTACCCATGTTTTATGTTTTTGATGTCATATTTTATCATCTTTTTACTTTGAGTATCACTTAAATATTTTAGATACAGATGATTTTACTACTTTTGTTTTTTAATCTTCATATTAGCTGTATAGGTGGTTGATCTACTACCTTTTCTATATGTTTGCCTCATAGTGAGTTTTTCCTTCATAAATTTCTGGTTTCTAGCTATGGCATTTTACATTTAAAGAATTCCCTTTAACATTTCCTATAAGGCCAGTTTTGTGGCGACAGACTGTTTCAGCTTTTGCTTGTAGAAAACTCTATCTCTCTTTCAATTTTGAATCATAATCTTGTCAAGTAGAGTATTCCTGGTTGTAAGTTTTCCCCTTTCTATAATTTGAATATATCATGTTAGTTGCTTCTGGGGCTATAAATTTCAGCTGAAAAAAATAGCTGCTAGTCTTATGAAGCTTCTCTTGTATATAACTAACTGTTTTTCTCTTGCTGATTTTCAGACTCTCTACCTTTGAATTTTGTCATTTTAATTATAACGTGTCTTGGTATACATCTCTTTGGATTCATTTTGTTTGGTACTTTCTATACTTCCTGGACATGGATGTCTGTTTTCTTCCCCAGAGTGAGGAAGTTTTCAGACATTGTTTTCTCAAGCCAAATGTGATGGCAGCTCCCTGGTGCAGACCCCTCTGCCCCAGGCTGGGAATCCAGCGTGGGGCTCAGACTCCAAGCTCCTCAGGGGGGCCGTCATGTTTGCAGTATTCCTCTTGCATATGGAGTGAAGCACCAGGATGGGGTTCTGACTAGACTGCCCCTCTTCCTGTCCCCTCCTGGCTTGATGCAGCCTTTTCTTCATATCCTTGGTTGTAGAAAGTCTGTTCTGCTAATGTTCAAGTCGTTTTCAGAGACAATTATTCTACATGTAGCTGTAGTTTTGGTCTTTCATGGGAGGGGTGAGCTCAGGGTCTTCCTATTCTGACCCTCAGAAGACGCCCACTTATGATACAGTCTTTTGTTGCTTTCCCTGTTTATAGTCATCCCATATTTAGTGAAATCTCTTCTTTGTAACTGTAGTATTTAACATGCTTCCAGAATCCTTTAACAAATCTCACCTAACCAACTTTTAAATTTTATTCAGTTGTTTTCTGCAGTATATTTTTATATTAAAAAAAGCCAGACTATTTACCTAGTCCTGAATATATCTTGAGCTTTTTCTACATCTTTTTATCTAAAACAATTTCCCATATCCCTATTTGCTACAATAATATTAACTATTTATGGACTATTTCAAATGCTCTTTTTTTTTAGCCTCAGAAACTTAAGTCCAGTTTATTTTGTTTTTATATATGGTCCTTGGCTTTATATGCCTATAGAAGTTTTGTGTTCATAAAGTTGTTTATCTTCATGTTTGGTTTTCTGTATAGTTTGTAAACTCTTTTTTCCTGTGTGTTCTTTCTCCTAGCATGTGAAAGTCATATCTGGCCAAGATCTTCAGCAAATCATCTTAGAGCAATGCTACAGTTTTGTTTGTGTGAATGTAAGTAGTAAATACAAGTGATTGAAATTACTTGAGAATTTGTGTGAATGTAATGTGGAAGAGTACTTAGTTTTCTTGATTCTTAAGTATTTGAATTTAAGATTTTGATAGGTGAGTTGTATTACTCAATATTTATTTCAAAATGTTATTTTTGTCTTTTTAGATAGGGAAATAGCATTTTCTTACAATCTAGTTCCCATAATGAGAAGAGAGTGATATTTCTTTAGACAGTATTTTCAAGTTTCTGATAAAAATTAGACAGAAAGACAGGTTTGAATTAATGAATTCTTAAAATTTTAATAGTTATAATCTTATGGGTATCAACATTGTTTGAAAATTTAAAATTAAGCTTGATAGATATTTTGAATGTTTAAATATTTAAAAGCTCTCCATTTTTCTCCTTGAATTAACTCTTAAGTCACTTAACTTCTTTTCACTTTCTTTTATTTTTCTGGTCTTTCAGGTTATGACCTCTGATTTTGAAGAAACCCAGAGGTTACTGAATATGCTGCAAGAGAGTAATCTTTCCATTTTATATCCTGTTGTGGTTATTTCAGTAAGTGAATTAACTCACTTTGCAAACTTATGCTTTTATTCTTTGAAATTGAACTTTTCTTTTAAACAAAATTTCATCTAATTGAAGAAATCCAACTAAACCTAAAGGAAGAAATTCTTCTTAGTGGATTCCTGAATATGCTTTCTTGCTCTGACTTCTCTAACTGCAGGTACTTAGAATTTCAATTATTTGGTTGAACTGGCATGTTTGAAAAACAGTTTAATTCAACCTAGCAAAAACTTGATGTCTTTTCCGTCATTTGAATTGCAGAGTTTATTGCTAAGTTGACCAGTTGTTTGGATACTGTGAAGGAGCTTATTTTAGTGTATCATCAGAGTGCTGTTAGAGAAGAAATCCCAAAGATAAAAAAAAACCAATGGGGAAAAATCATATTGAATAAAATACTCTTACTTTCTTTCATCTTCTCTGTCCCATGGACAGCAAAAGTAGAATGAGCAACCAATGAGAGAGAAGCCCTAGAAAAATGGCCCAGGAAAATTTGAGAGATCTTTTCTATGAAAGACTAAAGATCTGTGTTTAGTACAGAATTTACTTTTATTGGCTTTTAAAAACTGTGTGGCAGAGAATTTCAGAGAGCAAAACCAAGAAGTAATAAAATCGGAGCCCAGGCCTGAGGAACCAGTTGATAAGAATCTGCAGTCAGCAGCATTTTGCTGCGAGAAGGGATTCCAAACATGAAATTCTCAAAACAATAACTTAGCAGTTGCTGAATTCTAACACTCAGGCCTGTCCCATAGTGTGGGAATTTGCCTTTTGTTTGGTGAGATTATTAACACAGAATAAAGAAAATTTGCACTAAAATAAGTAGCTGTCAACAAAGCTGTGAATGAGGAAATGAATTAGCAATTGGGGGAAGTTTGATTATTTCCTGGGCCTGTTGTATTTGACTTCATGCCCTAAAGGTGAGTTCCACGATTGCTGCTGACTGTGGAAACCCAAATTCCTCACGTGATTGATTTTAACAGAAATATGGATGTTTTCATTGAAACTGTTAGGAACATCATGAAGTGTTCCCAGTGCCGGAGGTCTCTAAGGCTTTATAGGATGGAGATAAAGTCTAAGTTCTGTTTGGCTCCCTGTTCGTCTCTTCAGGTTCACTTGCTTAGAAACTTCATTCATATCAACTCTTTGGCCAAACTCTTTTGTGATCTCATGGATTGTAGCCCACCATGCTCCTTTGTCCATGAAATTTTCTAGACAATAATACTGGGGTGGATTGGGATTTCCTCCTCCAGGGGATCTTCCTGACCCAAGGATCAAACCCGCATCTTCTGTGTCTCCTGCATTGGAAGGCGGATTCTTTATTTCTGAGCCATCTGGGAAGCCTCATTTATATCATGTTCCCAGATATTCTTCTAAAGAGGCAGAATGGTACTGTAAAGAGAGGAAAGGCTTAAATTCAGAATACCTCGTTTCTTTGGTCAAGTGACTTCACTTATCTGAGACTTGCTTTCCTCCTTTTAGAAATGAGGCTACTATGGCCATTCTTCTTAAATCATTGTCAGAGTTAAAATGATTAAATACAGTTCACGTTACAGTCCTGGGCCTTTGGCAGCCATGCAGTGTTAGTTAGTTTCATTTAATAGCCTAGCTCCTGCTCTTTCCAGTTTGGATGAGATGAATCAACACTCACTGTTGCTGCTCTAACCTGATTCCTGAGCTTCAGTTCTACCTTGTTCAGCATTTCATTAGCTACTTCCATTTGAGTACTTGACTGTCCTCTCACAACTAGCGTATCCGATCTATCACAGTACACATTTCCCATCCACTGACTTCTCTTAGCGGCAGTACAGTTGTGGCCAGTACTCAGGTGGGAATCTGTGTCATCACTGAATTTTCCTCTGCTCCTTTCTTCTGCCTCTCTTCATTAAATACACACACATTCTCTCTCTCTCTCTCTCTCTCTCAAAGTTTTGAAATTGTGAATTCTTATAATTTATTGCTTCTCTTCTTTTCACAGCAGTTTGTAAGTCCTCCTCAGACAGCCATTTTGCCTTTTTGCATTTCTTTCTCTTGGGGATTTGATCCCTGCCTCCTCCACAGTGTCACAGTGGGTCCCATCACTTCATAGCAAGTAGATGGGGAAGCAATGAAAAGAGTGACAGGCTTTATTTTCGGGGCTCCAAAATCACTGTAGATGGTGACTGCAGCCATGAAATTAAAAGACGCTCACTCCTAGGAAGAAAAGTTATAACCAACCTAGACAGCATATTAAAAAGCAGAGATATTACTTTGCCAACAAAGGTCTGTCTAGTCAAAGGTATGGTTTTTCCAGGAGTCATGTATGGATGTGAGAGTTGGACTATAAATAAAGCTGAGAGCCAAAGAATTGATGCTTTTGAACTGCAGTGTTGGAGAAGACTCTTGAGGGTCCCTTAGACTGCAAGGAGATCCAACCAGTCCATCCTAAAGGAAATCAGTCCTGAATATTCATTGGAAGGACTGATGCTGAAGCTGAAACTCCAATACTTTGGCCACGTGATGCGAAGAACTGACATTTGAAAAGACCCTGATGCTGGGAAAGATTGAGGGCAGGAAAAGGGGACGACAAAGGATGAGATGGTTGGGTGGCATCACCGACTCAATGAACATGAGTTTGAGTAAACTCTGGGAGTTGGTGATGGACAGGGAGGCCTGGCGTGCTGCAGTCCATGGAGTCGCAAAGAGTCGGACATGACTGAGTGACTCTACTGAACTGAACTGATAGTTTATTGCAACTATTATATCTCAATCTAAGTCCTTTGTATGACTTCCATAAGTATTTGAATTCAGTTTTCCGTTGACCTTTGTAAAGTTCCATTTCATCCTAGTAAATGCCAGATATTTTTGGCATTTACTAGGTAAATTCTACCAAATTCTTTGGTAGCCAAAGAATGTTTGGCTACCTAACATTCTTTATCAAGCTAAGGGAAAAGATGGGCAATCTTCTACTTAGGAAGGAAACGTCTATGAGAATTAGCTTTAGAATAGTATTTTTATAAGTCAGTATACTATAAAAATTGTACAATGTTCACTTTAAACGGACAATTGTCACTCTGTAATTAATATTTGCTTACCCACTATTTTACATCGCATAGGTAGACTCAGCATGGTGATATTAGGGTTATTATTAAACTGCATAGGAAAATGTCCCAAGAACACATCTAGAATCTGAATCCTGGGGTGGAACAAACCACTGGAAACGTAAAGAATGCTGCCTTCTTTGGGAGCCAAGTAAATTGTCACCAGATTTTTTGATTGTCCTGTGAATGATTGTGTAAAGGCTCTATCTGTTTTGCTTCTGATGCTCCTTTGCCTCCAAATTGTCAAAAGGCCACTTCAGTTTCCCTGTGACTTAAAATTTGGCAGAGCCATTCAAATATTCCCCAAATAAATATCAATTGCTGTGCAGGAAATATTATAGTTGTAAAATAAAAGAGTCTATATATCTGGGGACAGAATTTTTACATTAGTGAGAAAAATATATACACACAGGTAGATACAGTGTGTGGGTATGTAAGTGTAAATATATATGCAGACAGATATACATATATATGTAATTGAAAAGATATTATGTGAACCTTTTTTCTTTTTTTTCAATTACATACATATGTATTCTTGTTGTTGTTCAGTCTCTCAGTTATGTCCAGCTCTCTGCGACCCCATGGACTGCAGTACACCAGCCTTCCCAGTCCTTTACCGTCTCCCGGAGTTTGCTCAAACTCATGTCCATTGAGTTGGTGATGCTGTCCAACCATCTCATCCTCTGTCATCCCCTTCTCCTCCTGCCTTCAGTCTTTCCCACCATCAGGGTCTTTTCCAATAAGTCGATTCTTTGCATCAGGTAGCTGAAGTATTGGAGCTTCAACTTCAATGTCTGTCCTTCCAATGAATATTCAGGTTTGATTTCCTTTACGATTGACTGGTTTGATCTCCTTGCAGTCCAGGGAACTCTCAAGACTCTTCTCCAACACCAGAGTTCAAACGCATCAATATATGTATATATGTCTGCCAAAGATATTATATCAACCACCTTTTGGCTTCCATGGTGGCTCAATGGGTATGGAATCCGCCTGCAATGTAGGAGACACAGGAGATGTGGGTTTGATCCCTGGGTAAGGAAGGTCCCTTGGAGGAGGAGATGACAACCCCACTCCAGTATTTTTGCCTGGGAAATCCCATGGGCAGAGTAGCTTGGCAGCCTTCAGTCCATGGGTCACAAGAGTTGGACATGACTCTGCAACTAATCCAGTGTTATGTGAACCAGGCAGCTCTGAGGCTATGATGTGTCTACTTTGCTTCTTTCTGAATTACTTCTCTAGAAGATTTGACCAAGACAAAAAGTACCTTACCATTTTTTTTTTCCCCTATAAGGCTTTTGTTAAGCACTCTTAAGTTCTAAGAAGAGTCCATTCCTTTGCTTCCCTCAACAGATGGATTTTATTCATTAGAAAATAAATGCACCCTAGATATACATGTTTCGATGCTGTTCTTTTGAAACATCCCGCCCTCGCCTTCTCCCACAGAGTCCACAAGTCTGTTCTATACATCTGAGTCTCTTTTTTCTTTTTTTGCATATAAGGTTATCGTTACCATCTTTCTAAATTCCATATATATGTGTTAGTATACTGTAATGGTCTTTATCTTTCTGGCTTACTTTGCTCTGTATAATGGGTTCCAGTTTCACCCATCTCATTAGAACTGATTCAAATGAATTCTTTTTGATGGCTGAGTAATATTCCATGGTGTATATGTACCACAGCTTCCTCATCCATTCGTCTGCTGATGGGNGGGTGGAGAGGGAGGTGGGAGGGGGGACCGGGATGGGGAATACATGTAAATCCATGGCTAATTCATTTCAATGTATGACCAAAACCACTGCAATGTTGTAAAGTAATTAGCCTCCAACAAATAAAAATAAATGGAAGAAAAAAATAAAAATAAAAATAAAATAAATAAAAAAAATTTAAAAAAAAATCAATGTTCAACTTAATAAAGTG